GTATACCAGCATATTACCTCTTTTTGCTTAGCCTTTATCGTTTTGCCTTCTGCAAATTCAGCATCAGAAAATAATTGAGCCAAATCTCGACCTTCCCCATCAGCTATTACAATATTGAACTTGGAAGTGTTAAATGATGAGGCAAATGCTTCTTTTTGAATAAATGAAATCACTTCCTGAATTATACCTTGCTCAACTTTCTGATTGTATGGTATTTTTCGCCACGACTAGAATTGTTTCCTTGTTATATACGATCTAGCGATAAGAATAAGCTCAAATAGGACCTAGAAGGGCCATAAGAGGAAAGCTTATGACGTTCTTAATCAGTAGTTTTATCAAAATTCATATGTCGCAGGGATTTGGAATCTCCGCATCTCCGAGATCGTTAGATCTAAATCTACCTTAAGCGATCGACGATTATAAGGGGCTTAATTTCACCAGAAAAATAAAAAAATAGAACAGTGTTTGGAACTTATAGCTGAACGGAGTTGCTTTATGTAGAAAAAAGCTAGCGTTGAATTTGGGTAACGTAATAACTAATCGTGTATTTTTCTTTCTGGCAGGTTCTCAGACCGAACGAATATGAAGTATAAAATAAGCAAGCTCCCGCCCACAAGATAAGTTAGCAATAACGTTATTTTTTGCTCATATATATTTTTACTTGGTTCACTTGCCCGTTTATTTTTAAAGTAATGGATTTACCGTTTAATACAGTCTATGAAGACGATTTTTTACTTACTATGTTTTTTGTATTTAGGATCGAAAAATGAGCACTAACAATAACACCACCTCCAAGACTAACGAACCCAACCCTAAGACTAATGAATATATTTATCTCAATTGTCTCATCACGCTCTGCTTACCATATCATTTTTTTAAAATCAAAGTTTCTAATGGAAGTGATGTTGAATCATTAGAAACTCAAGTTCAAGCCCGTTTGTCCCTATTACCATCTGGTGCAACTAGCACACCTCGCCGGTTTCTTATATTTCGCCCCCAAGGAGGATATGTGAATATGCATCCTCATACTAATCTTTATACTCTTTTCAGTAATAATCCTGATCAAAATAT